CTTTAACAAATACATAGTATATATATATATATATAATAATAATAATAATATCAATACAAACTAAATATATATATATATTATATTATAATTATTATAATTTCCTACAGGAGATTTCCCAAAATGATTTATTCTTTTGCGAGTGTCCCGATACTTTTGGAGGGGAGTAGGAGAAGGTCGTAATAAATCGTAGACATTGGGTTGTCGTAGGTATCGTTGTTTTCCTTGCGAAGGGGACACCCTTTGTGGACGAGTTATCCTTGGTCGTGCAAATTTATTGCAAGCAGATGAAAGTGTAAATAGGCACCCGAAACTGTCGAACGCGACGAGTACTGTACGGGTACGAGTACGAGAACTGTCGAAAGCGATCGGTATCTTCTATTCCGATGGAAAAACTAAACGGAACTGACGCAAACGTAGGTACGAAGTTGCTCGAAAGAAGCGAGTTAGGCATAGAACGTAGAGGATGCTGATAAGCAGAGGATATCTCAGTTATTGCATCGTATTAAAATAGTTCGTAAAATCCACTCGGTACAGGCAAATGTTTGGCTATCCGTTTACACTTCTGTAAACGTAATAAACGATGATGATCGATCTTAGTCATGCCCGAGGCGGCCTCGGAGTTTTTGGCTCTAAATCATTTCCGCGGCGGCGGTGATTTATGAACTGCCGCCCGGGTGCAGTTTATAATTGTTTATTCATTTATTGTTATGCACGATTTTGTCACGACCCACGTGGTACAACAACACGGCGGCCTGTATCGCGGGTGCAACGAACGCTGCCGCCTTGTAACAACGTATAATCGACAAATTTTTTAAAAATATCGACGACAACAAGTGCGCGGAACACGCTCGAACTTTGTCTTTGATCGCGACTCGTTTTTATAGTTGTTTACAATCGGCGATTCCAAAAACGACCTGCGAGGCTCGATATAATTGTATCTTCACTTCCCGAATTGTCTATTTTTGTTTACGAGCTGCGGGAACGTTGGAGAGAATTGATTGTATTTAGCATTTATGTTCAACTACGACGAAGAGAACAATTCTAAGACCGCGATAGAAGAACATCGATATTATATTTTCGATCAATATCATTACATTAGATTAGAGCAATATTAGAGCATTTCAACGGTGCCTATCCTATTCACAAGATTTACAGGAAAGAGTTGCTTATAAATAATTGTATCCCATTTGTATCATCTAATTATAATATAGACCCTGTCTCTTATACACATCTAGATGTGTATAAGAGACAGCATTTGTATCATCTAATTATAATATAGACCCTGTCTCTTATACACATCTAGATGTGTATAAGAGACAGCATTTGTATCATCTAATTATAATATAGACCCTGTCTCTTATACACATCTAGATGTGTATAAGAGACAGCATTTGTATCATCTAATTATAATATAGACCCTGTCTCTTATACACATCTAGATGTGTATAAGAGACAGCATTTGTATCATCTAATTATAATATAGACCCTGTCTCTTATACACATCTAGATGTGTATAAGAGACAGCATTTGTATCATCTAATTATAATATAGACCCTGTCTCTTATACACATCTAGATGTGTATAAGAGACAGCATTTGTATCATCTAATTATAATATAGACCCTGTCTCTTATACACATCTAGATGTGTATAAGAGACAGCATTTGTATCATCTAATTATAATATAGACCCTGTCTCTTATACACATCTAGATGTGTATAAGAGACAGCATTTGTATCATCTAATTATAATATAGACCCTGTCTCTTATACACATCTAGATGTGTATAAGAGACAGCATTTGTATCATCTAATTATAATATAGACCCTGTCTCTTATACACATCTAGATGTGTATAAGAGACAGCATTTGTATCATCTAATTATAATATAGACCCTGTCTCTTATACACATCTAGATGTGTATAAGAGACAGCATTTGTATCATCTAATTATAATATAGACCCTGTCTCTTATACACATCTAGATGTGTATAAGAGACAGCATTTGTATCATCTAATTATAATATAGACCCTGTCTCTTATACACATCTAGATGTGTATAAGAGACAGCATTTGTATCATCTAATTATAATATAGACCCTGTCTCTTATACACATCTAGATGTGTATAAGAGACAGCATTTGTATCATCTAATTATAATATAGACCCTGTCTCTTATACACATCTAGATGTGTATAAGAGACAGCATTTGTATCATCTAATTATAATATAGACCCTGTCTCTTATACACATCTAGATGTGTATAAGAGACAGCATTTGTATCATCTAATTATAATATAGACCCTGTCTCTTATACACATCTAGATGTGTATAAGAGACAGCATTTGTATCATCTAATTATAATATAGACCCTGTCTCTTATACACATCTAGATGTGTATAAGAGACAGCATTTGTATCATCTAATTATAATATAGACCCTGTCTCTTATACACATCTAGATGTGTATAAGAGACAGCATTTGTATCATCTAATTATAATATAGACCCTGTCTCTTATACACATCTAGATGTGTATAAGAGACAGCATTTGTATCATCTAATTATAATATAGACCCTGTCTCTTATACACATCTAGATGTGTATAAGAGACAGCATTTGTATCATCTAATTATAATATAGACCCTGTCTCTTATACACATCTAGATGTGTATAAGAGACAGCATTTGTATCATCTAATTATAATATAGACCCTGTCTCTTATACACATCTAGATGTGTATAAGAGACAGCATTTGTATCATCTAATTATAATATAGACCGTATTGAAAGAATTTTTTACTTTCTTGTACATAGCCTTAAAATGCAATAAACGATATAAAGTTCTATAGAAAACTGAGTGTTAGTTATAAACTTCGGTTAAGATGTAAATATAAGAATACGCACCGACGCAAATGTAACCCACTTATATGTTTAAACGATCGAACAACTATAAACTAAAATTGTAATAGTCAAGAATATCTCAGCGAATTATTATAGGCTGATGCTTGAAGAACAATTAAATAAATAAATAAATAATAATAATAATAACAATAATAATAATTACTATAGTAATATACTCGATAAAATTTCCGTAACCGAAGCTGTAGCTGCAACGTGAATCTGAACATGGGCGAACGAGCGACGGATAACGACACCTTTTTATTTTGCATGCGAAGCGATATTCTAGAAACTTCTATTTCCCGTGGCGTCATGTAGAAAATAAGAGATAATAAATAATAAAATAAGAAATAGAGTAATAATCGTAAGAAATGGAGATTCTAATTTGTTTCCCTAATCCTAATACAGTACAATAATAAATATTCGTCTAAAACATATTAGTACACGTATTGGGAACATTTACGTAGAAGATTAAAAATACTTAAAACATTAAAAACACCCCAGTGACATTCTCCCCCGATCGAAAATCTCTACAACTTAACCATTTGCATTCGTGCGGTAACACCGAGACGCTACTAAAAATTGTTATACACGTTTAAAAATAACTTTTACATTGTCAAATTTCTTTCGATTAAAAAAAGAAAAACTGTTAAAAGCGCAACTGTGGCGCGAGTCGCAAGATTGACTGTCATACGCACAAAATGCAACGAGTCGTATGAAATTGAAATAACCGTGGGTCAGAAAACTATTTTCGGTTTAGAGTTAAAATGTTATCGAGTGCGAAGGGTTAAGCTCTGCAAGTTTTAAGAGTTAAGATGCAAGACTATTAAAACAAATTTACCGGACCTCCTGTATATACATAGATAAATAGTGAAGTTTCCTCGGAGTTCCAACAAGAAATCTGGTTCTCGCCGCGGGAAACGGTGTCCCATTTTGTTTCGAAACTCGCTCGGGACACCGATCTTGCTTGGCTTTTCGTTCGCGAGCGACGGCTGTAACGTTCGCGCTTGAATTCTGACGTAAGCAAGACGCGACGTCGACGAGATTTTCGGGAAAATATTTTGCGAACGGAACACACAGTCGCGTGTTCGCGGTTGATTAAATTCCTGCGAACACATCGATTCGTCCGCCTATCGAGGGCGAGATCGCGATCGAACGCGCGAACGACGCGTTTCTCCCGATAGGACAGAACGATACGGCGGCGATACGGCGGCGATACGGACGCGATTCGGCTGAACTCGGCGGGGCTCGGGCCGGCCGGCGTCGGTTCGGTTCGCCGGCGGAGCGACGGTGTTTACGCGCCGCTTGACAAGAAACAAGGAACAGGTCGTGCACGTATTTTCGCGAGGGGAGGGGAAACAAGTAAAACGCGACAAGTGCGAAAAATGTTGTCCATTCCGAGGCTTTAACACGGTGAAACGCGTCTACGGGGGCGTGAGAGCCGCCTTCCTCGCATTCTTTTATCAGCTCGCGATATCTCTGGCTGTCGGAGTTGCGCTCGAGCGCCATTACGGGCATGGAACACGGAGGCCGGCGTCGATTGGCCGAGCGGTGCCATTGGTGGGGGGCATGGCGGAGCGGTAGGCGGAGGCAACGTCCGCCGGGGTATGACTACTACCCTCCGTAGTCGCAGTTCGGTAAACAGTCTTCCTCTGAACATCGAAGGGCCATCACCACCGGGAACTCTGCAGTCTTCGCGCAGTCTCGCCTTCAGTTTTCGCGGTTTCAGCAAATATCAGTGCTGCTCGGTGCCACGTGAATCAGGAAGCAAACATCCTTCGTTTTGGTGACTGTGAAATTGGGTAGCGTTGTCCAAGCAAGAACGCACACGGTTTCGCAGGCACTCGGTCGATGTTGGAGGACCTGTGACATTTGCCGATACTAGTGGCAAACAAGACGAACGACGCGCTCGTTCGTATTGTCCGGATCCTCCTAAAGCGCGCGCTTCCAACGAAAGGTCGGATTCATCCGTGTCGGGGGCGACTAGTCAGACCTGCACCGACGCCCTTACGTGAGATTCATGAACGCAATGGCTAACGTCAGTGGCATCAGTAGCATGGTCTCGTACTATAACACGCTCTCGATGTTCCGACAACAGCCGGTACCACAGCAGTCCGCCGAACAGCAGCAGCTGGTGCAGCAGATCCAGCAGCAAGGGCAGATGCAACAGGCACAGCAACACGCGGCCGTGACGCCTGCCGACGGCGGGCAATATTGGTACGGATACGCCCCCGGGCCTCATCCGCAAGTGGCGCATCATCAGCAGGCGGTCAGTGCCCAGCAGTATTTGGAGCACGCTGAGGTTCTGCCCGCTTGGACTCATCACGCTGCGCATCACTATACGCAGCTCCAGTATCAGCACCACCAGGCCTACCAGCAACCACCGCAACAACAGCAACCGCAGCAGCCACCGCAACAGCAACCAACGCCGCAGCAACCACCGCACCAAATTCAACATCAGCAACAACCGGCCCAGATCCCCGGGGTTGTTGCCGATTGGAACGGGAACGCGGGCAACGCCGCGCTCGGAGCCGGAGAAACTAGTCCGCCGGTCAACGCGAGCGCGGCGAACAGCCCCGAAACGCCGGTCACCTCCCCGCCAACCAACAACACCCCGGGGAAGATCACCAATAGCAATAGCAACGGTGCCAACCCCACAAACACTGGCAATACCGGCAACAACAACACGCACCCGAACAATATCAGCCACGCCGGTAATAACACTAGCAGCAACGAGACCGCGAATCCTAGTGCGATGAGACCCGCGCAGATTCGGAGTCCCTTCGAGTGGATGAAGAAGACTTCATACCAGAGCCAGCCCAATCCTGGTGAGTTTGATTTCTTCAGCTTTTCTATATTTTCTGTGAATGTTCTCAATGTTCTCCGCTTTCCACGTGTACACGGTCCAACGTACCGCGAAGTCCGAGTACAGTGAATTCTTCTTGATCGATCGCTCGGTTCGCGCACAACAGTGAATAATTTTGGAAGAGAAGACACGATTATTTCGAGCCTTGCTTACCAATACCGGCGAGTTCTCTTCGAGTAGCAACATCGGAGGATAAGATCTTAGAACACGTTCGCGCGTTAATCGAGCCGAAAGAAAGTACGTTCTTCCGCCGGCGTGGTGTGGAACTTCTATCCTCCTTCACCGCTACTGTACACAAGGCGATGGAACTTGGTCCTCGATAAACGAATTTGCGACAAGCGGTGTGATCGATGGATCGATTTGAAAGGTTTTTCTCGGTAATGCCCGATAAGGTTCTTCCGGCGACGATCCGGCAAAACAATCGACCGCGATCTCTCGGTATCGTTCATCGGCGAACGAAAACGCGTCTCCCATTCATGGCCGGAATCCGTGATTTATAGCACGCAGCGAACAGACGAATTGAAATGTTCTTCGCATGTTTTGATCGGATCGCTGACTCGAGTATATGTGATACGTACATCGTGTTCGCGGACCCGTAAACGAACACTGATCGAGGACGGTTGGTTCCGTGTATCAATATACCCCGTACTTAGAACGCGGATCGTGTTTGTTCCCTGTAATTGCGCTGACTTTGCCGGTTATAGAAGCGCTCGGGATAAATCGATTTGAAACAGTAAACAGAGCACAAATATTTGTATCTTGCTCGTGTGATACGGAACTTGGCAAATCGACGATGTTACCACAAATTACTTTCGGGAATTAAAGACGGATTCTCGAGGTCATTCGAAGCAACATTTTCCTTGGCGAAAATGCAGTCCGCGGCGTTGTTTACAAGTTATTAACGATTAACAGTGACCAATGAGAAGCGAGAGTTCCGTTTATTGGGTCGGCCGTCTCGCGCCAGACGATCTTGCCTCTCTCATTGGTTAATAATTCGTAAACGAAGCCGCGGATTGCATTTTCGCCAAGGGAAAGTTACTTCAAGTGACCGCAGGAACCCTTCATTTCCCGGAAGTAACATAATTTTTGGACCCCCTGTATATTTCAAATGCTATTTCCATCCGAAACTACTAGTTCCACCCGAAAATCGATCCTTGTTACGGGCAAGATGACCTGATACAGGACAAAAACACCTGTTATCGACCTGTTTCTCGACCTCTATCGGGTCGAGACGAGATTCCTGGAAAAAAATTGGAGACAAAAAGACACGTTTTCGAATCACAGCATTTTAAGAGATCGCGAACATTTTCGGGAAACCCGAACGTTTTTAGGAATCCCGAACATTTTTAGGATTTCCGGACAATCTCGGAAAAACCGAGAGTTTCAAGATCCCGTCACGATCTCGAAAATCATTCTCGTTCCCGCCCCGAGACCCGCTCTCGCACACATTTAGTAACCACCGTTTTAAAGAAAATTGTTTTTGCCATATTTGGTATTACATGAGAGGACAAAGATATTTACAGTCTATACATAAGAAATTCTCTCCAGTTTTTCTTCAGCTTGCAAACAAAATTGGGCAATTTGGGAAAAGGAGATACGATTATTCGAGCCTCGCGAGTCATTTTTATAGTCGCCGATTATCGACGATTATAAAAACAAGGTGCGAGGCTCGAATAATCGCATCTCTTCTTCCAAAACTGTCCATTTTTGTTTGCAAGCTGATGGAAAACTAGGGAGAATTTACTATACCATTTCAAAAATCTATTTCTCCTCCGGTTACAAGTGGGTCGTAGGTCATAAAGGTGTTCGATTTATCCGCGGCAATCGATTAATCAAAATCGTTTCGTTCGATTAATCAAAAGGAAAAAAAAGAATTATATCCGTGTAAATGATTCCAGAGTAAAAGAATGCTCCCGTCGTGTACACAGAACAAAGAGAAATGAAATTAGTTAAAGAGAGAGAGAGAGAATCCGAAAATTATCTCTAATATAATAATTGAGCCGTTTATTTTGAAAGTGGCATAAGTCACTTTGTTTTTAAGTCGATATAATTAAGGGTTTGCGTTTCAACACGTTTCAAAATATGGATGCTAACTTTCGAGAAGATTTACTTGTATTTGTTATCTCGGGATACTGATATATTTTTCTCAGTATAAATAATTTCGTATAAACATTAAAAAATCACCACTTTTCATTACGGTAAAGTGACTCTTATGCCACTTCCAAAATAAACGGCTCAATTATCCGAAATATTATCTCTAATATTGTTGTAAAGTAAACGAAATATTAGACGTCGATTTGAAACTCGGCAGTCCGATTATACGTCCTTGGAATCAAACATGATACGACATTTCTCGGTCATCATTATCGATATAGCTTCGATTCGCGTGTTTACACTCGATCATAATCGTCGAGCTTGACATCGTTAGTGTTCAACTTTCCCCATGCTTTTGTATCGACGATTCGCGGACACTTCTAAATCCGTTGGCTGTACGTGTAGCACCGTTAAATCAAAACACCGGTAATTCGTTTAAATTGTCCGTTGGTCGACGAAGGTCGTGTCTCGTACTTTCGTTAGGCTAATCGTAAGAGGACGTTGGTTTTGAAAATATCGTGAATTCGATTCGATCCGATTCTGGTTAACGCTAAACCTACCAAGCTGTAATACTAACTGGCATATGAGCCGTTTATTTTGAAAGTGGCATAAGTCACTTTGTTTTCAAGTCGATATATTTAAGGGTTTGCGTTTTAACACGTTTCAAAATATGGATGCTAACCTTCGAGAAGATTTACTTGTATTTGTTATCTCAGGATACTGATATTTTTCTCAGTATAAATAATTTCGTATAAACATTAAAAAATCACCACTTTTCATTACGGTAAAGTGACTTATGCCACTTTCAAAATAAACGGCTCATATGTACTGTTTCGCAAAAGTGAGAAAACCGAATTTATTTGGAATTCGTCAAGTTTTTATTATAAAACTTGCTCCAATAATATAACTTGTTCAAGCGTTTTCCACGAAAGAGTCTCGGAACTGTGCAGAATTGCGAAATAAGAAAGCGGTCACTTTGACCGCGGTAGGTTTAGTGTTAAATGTCCAACGCAACAAACAATTGCCAATATTCAAGTAATATTAAAACAACAGCAAACTGCATCAAATATGAAATTTAAATACAATATTCGAGAAAGGACAAATCGAAAGTTGCCTTTTTTATTTATTACAGCTATTTGCTTGTGCTAATTTCATGAAGTATTTCTCAACCGAAAATATGCTGAATTTCTTTCGCGACGATTATGTAGGAGAGCCGAGACAACTGTGTATTCTCAAAAAATATTTTAAACGTTCCACCATGTTCGGAAGATCGCGAATATGACGTTACAAGTGGTTTTAGAAATTTTGCGTTTTTCGGGAAATTATGGATAGGATTTCTTAACACTGAACCTACCAAACAGTAATACTAACTGGCATGTACTGCTTCACAAAAGTGAGAAGACCGAATTTATTTGGAATTTGTAAAGTTTTTATCATAAAACTTGCTCTAATAATATAACTTATTCAAGCGTTTTCCACGAAAGAGTCTTGGAACTATGCAAAATTGCGAAATTGGTCACTTTGACCGCGGTAGGTTTAGCGTTAAACTTTTCATTACGGTAAAGTGACTTATGCCACTTTCAAAATAAACGGCTCATACGTACTGCTTCACAAAAGTGAGAAGACCGAATTTATTTGGAATTTGTAAAGTTTTTATCATAAAACTCGCTCCAATAATATAACTTATTCAATAGTTTTTCACGAAAGAGTCTTGGAACTATGCAAAATTGCGAAATTGGTCACTTTGACCGCGGTAGGTTTAGCGTTAAACTTTTCATTACGGTAAAGTGACTTATGCCACTTTCAAAATAAACGGCTCATATGTACTGCTTCGCAAAAGTGAGAAAACCGAATTTATTTAGAATTCGTCAACTTTTTATTATAAAACTTGCTCCAATAATGTAACTTGTTCAAGCATTCAAGTCTCGGAACTATGCAGAATTGCGAAATAAGAAAGCGGTCACTTTGACCGCGGCAGGTTTAGCGTTAAAAACGTCGTAGATGAAACGCGTTAGTTGGGGGGGCGCGGGGGTGTATGTGGTTGGCGTACATCGGGCTCGGTTGTAAACGCGTCTCCGCGGTCTAGATACGGTGGAACAATGCAAACACGGTAACAGACGAGCAAACATCTAATTGCTCTCAAATATTTGTGAGATAATCTCCGTTCTCTCTTGCTGTCGTCTCGATGTTCGGTCGGTCCAACCGAAGAGCCTGAATCGCCCGGAGTATACCTAATTTCGAAAGAAATCGGTCCCGCGATAACGAACGAGGACGGTTCATTACTCGAGTGCGCGAGTAATCTTCGAGAACGGGCCGATTGAAATTGTTATATCACGGGTACCTGGCAAAAGCACGGTATTACAGTAGCAGGAAAATAAGTATGATTTCGCGTGATTTGGAAACGCGGCGAAGGCAAGAGAGAGAGAGAGAGAAAGAGAGAGTGAGAGAGTGAGAGAGAGAGAGAGAGAGCAAGAACTCTCGATGGACGCGGAAGCAGGTATTTTCATTCGGATTACACTGTCGCTAAAAATAAAGTTGTTGCATTCGAGAGGTACGCGCAACAGCCTCGAACTCGAAACTTGCGGATTGGATTACAATGTATCGAGGAATATATATTTCGAAAGTACGGGGAAGGCACACGATTTATAGCGAGAAATTAACGCGTACAAATTGCCGATCCTTCGTTCACAGATCCGCCCCGAACCTGGGCGGCTCGCGTCTTTCCTGATTTATGCGGACTTTGATGGTTTCGGTAAATCATCCCGCCGCGTGTTAATTCACAGTTTGAACTTGGTGTTGGTATTCGTGCATTGCGAAAGATTTACGGCTTGGAAAACCGTGATGTAATTTGTGAGGGAATCTGGCCAT